TGGCCCATTTGGCTGGCTTATATCTACAAACTGTAGTTGGTAATAATCCATCATTAGCTGAAACAATTAACCTCTGAAAACAAATCAACCAGTTTTACCATGTGACCTTCATACGTGCGCATATATATATATATATATATATATATATATATATATATATATGACTGGTAATAATAAAGCACTGTCAACTTATCCAAAAACGGTCAAGAATTAGAGGGCCAAAGTTGGTTCAACTATCGATATTTACGTGCTTACCGTGACAAATCACTCTCACATGCAAACTGTGGCAGTGACTTCCTTAATATTGACCAAATTGGATGGCTAGCCAACTGTTTGCGTGAAGCTGGTATGTAACTCGCCATTGAAATCCAATACTTTTTTAGTAGTCCTGATAGATTTATTTTAGTCTTAAGTGATCAATGACATCGACTTCACGAAGGAAGGGGAACATGGTGCCCTCTCCGGTCTAGCCTAGTATAGACATTGTAATTGGTAGCTTTTGTCAAACTAAGACACTGTTTAGTTAAGGCAATCATCAACTCCAGACTGACCTAAATAATAACTTTGGACTTTACAAAATGGGTTTTAATTGCATCTAACTTGACAGGACATCCAATTATCCCGACCCAAGTCTTTCAGCACACGACTGGTCACAGAAAATGTGAGGTCTAAAAAGAGAAATTAGAGATATTAAATATACAGTTGTCAAAATCATTCACAGCGTTTGTCCACTAGTCATGAGCGATTGAGACTTGTAATGACTGAAGTAATCGAACCTGACATGCCTTCAATGAAGTATTGGAAACAATTGAAATGCATCAGTTTTGGCAGAACGAATAAACGTTTTGTTTGTTTAATGCGAGTCTGGACCAGACAATCCAGTGACTGACATGAGCATCGATCTATGCAATTGGAATACGTTAAACGAGATAATAGGAGCATATGCTATTTTGTGTAAGCTCAACTGATATAAGGACCAGGTGAGATAACAGTATGATCAAGGAATGACAGACAAGCCAACAACAGGTGACAAAGATAGAGCTTTATTCTTCTTCCTCTATATTCCAATCATGTGGTAATAAATTAACAAATCAGACTGCAGGAGAGATAGAGAGATAGAGCAGAGAGAGGAGGGGGACAGTTATAATGCCACTGGGGTTAAAATATCCTTGCCATCACAAACCAGTGGAACAGTTGCCTCCCCTTGATCAGTCTCCAGCCTGTAGAAACCTATTGGCTCAATGTGATACCAAATGTATCCAATGTTTTTCATCTCTACCAATCCCACATTAAGTAGATGTAATCAACAGGAAGCAAGCAGGTTTTCTGTAGGTTCATTGCCAATGGTGTAGGTGCAGATTATGCAATTTCTGATAAGAAACCATCAGAAAACCTTCCACTGGTAAGGGATTACCGATATATTGAACATTTAATATCTGGATTAAGACTAAGAAAGTACTCATTTCAAAATCACAATTACCACAAGTATATCCACCTTTACCAATTATAGTTCAAAATGCCAAGAGTGTATCCGAAAGAGAATAAACCTGTTGGCAATACAGCAATTACAAGTATGCCAACCACATTTCAACGTGAAACTACACCCAATACATACAAGGTAAACGTCCATCTTTGGTTTTATGATGATTTCAATGGTTTTAACGTCAGATGTAGCTGCAGTGTCTTCTAGTATCTGAGCAGTCCAGTAGAGTAACATACGATTTAAAGCTTCAAAACAAGCACAGGTTAAATGAAGACAGCAGTAAGAATGGCTGCTGTTAAGTTAATGTAATACTTGGGGGGACGTGGCAAGAGGTTCATTTCGCAATGGTGAGGACGAGGCAGAGTTATTAAAGAACACAACAGGACCAAGTCTCTATGACAAGGGGATGACACAACATGTGCAATAAATAGCGACAATGGTGCATATACGCTGAAGACATGTGTGTCGAAGTCTTGCATGATCTACAATGTTGAAATGAAATGCCTCTGAAGATGTGAATCAAATGAATGCAACTTATAACAAGCAGGAGCAGGCCTTCATGTTGGGTCACGTCAGTAATAATGATATCCCTCCCTCCCAATGTTAATGTGCAGCCTAGTTTAACCAAGTGGCTGAATGGCAGATGCCCTGATGCACGTTCATCAAACTCACAACACTGATAATGGTTCACATGGATACAGCCACATTTGGTTTTATGTACACGTACACTAGTCCTACACATAGTGCTTGTTTTGAAGCTTTATGCTAAGAGAGAGAGAGAGTTCCGAGTCTCCTGCCAACCAACTAACCATAGCAACACTCATAAGTTCACTCCAGCACACCAAGACTCCAAACTCTACCATGCAGAATCAGAACCCTCTGGCAGAAACCTTATTTCATAACGCTGGAAATCTTCAGATACAGGAGGATAGAAAGAAGTTAAACCCATTCATAATTAACACCCAAACATATTTAGTTGTAAATCTGTTGATTGCAAGTCAGGCAAAAGGTACATGATTGATGACAGACAAAGTAGCAATGTGACATCCAATGTAGTACACTGATTCCTCTCCCACACCCTGTTTCCTCACACGGTGCTTGCACATTGTGATGACTGGAATAAGTGTTGCATCTTTAGAACTCAAACAGTCAATTCTCTTAAATCAATTTGTAGTATATAATATATAGTTTCACCATATATGTCATTATGTACACAATAAGCCTTCTGAATACAGGCCCCTATTGGCAGTCTGCCTACTGGAGAAATCAAACACAGGGAAAAATTAGTCAATCTTACAGGAAAACGCGAACCAATTTTTACACTTATTCCTTATTTTGTGTGTGTTAGAGGAAGGACTTAGTTGAGCACATGCAAAATCGACATTAACAGCTTCCCACCAATAGAAATAAAAAGTAACAAAAAATAAAAAATAAAAAAGCAAACGTTACTCTGGTGCCCAATTACAATGCCTGTCAGTAGTCATGTTCAGCCAATCAGAAGCAGAACCATACAAGCCATTAATCATCAAATAACATCAACATTCAAACAGTACAATCCTTGTGGATCAAACAACTAGAAAGCCAGTATGTACAATCAATCAATTAATTAACTTACTGGGGGAATTACTGGGCCGCACCAAACACAGGGCCTTACACTGATCAAATTAATAAATCAATCAACCTTACTTCAAAACCTAGCTGAAACTAGCATCAGTGACGATCTCAACCTCTGACCATTGTATGAATATCAAAAGTAAAGAAAATAATCTCTGAAATGCTTGATTTCTTGGTGAGTGTGGCATCTGATTACAAGAGACAGGCCACTTCCTAGAGTGGGTGCAAACACACATAAACAGCAAAGCTTCTTCTTCACTATAAATGCGTAGCTGAAGACATTCATTTTCAAATAGAATAATCCACAATCTATGGCGTATACACATTAATTTGAAACTTGATTAACTCCAAAATAGTCAAGTTGCTGCCAGCATTGTGGAATCAATTGTATACAATGATTCCAAACATCCCTGCTTTGCTTGTTTGTGGTTTGTCCCCAGCCAAGGCTGTGTCACTGTGGGTAGGAGAATGTGGCAGGCAATACTGCATGAGGGCAGCCTGCACACACATGGTCTCCCAGACATGCAGTGCCTACCACTTGGCTATTGGAAACAGAATCCTCATAACTAACAGTAGTAGCAACAACTATATTAAATGCTAAAACATTCACAATCAACTAGCTACATTCAGTTCAACAGTTTCTTCATTATATATATTTATATATATGTACACTTGAACATATACACATTTTTACCTTTCCCTCCCGGTATATTATGTACATGATTATGAGGACGCCACTGGACAGGTCTCCATGGGAACAGACAAGGGAAAAGCTTTATATGTGGGCCACAAAGCACAAAAACTTGAGGTTTTCAACTTTTCCTGAATTTGCCCAGTTTCAATGAAGGTATGGAAGTGAGAGGGGGCTCCACGTTCTGTACACCAGACACACCAAGCTCATGCAGTCAGGGAGACAAGCGACATACAGATATCCAGAAATACCTAGTTATATATAATATAATATATGTATTTATATATATCACAATAATGATTCACAAGAGATCCCTTGCGCGCCTGAATTAATGAAATGATTCAACAAATGTTATGGAATACGAAATATCAAGCCATCATGTTTGAAGGATGAACCCCAGCCATCGATCTGTTTGTGACATGGCAACATACACTTTCATCTTAGCACCTTTAGGATGTGTCTTTGAATTGTGGTAACCATGGTAACCAACCTGTTGAAAAGTATAACAAAACAGGTAACGGAAAACACGCATGTCACATTACTAAACCAATGTTGATATCAAGCCGAAAATAAAACATGCTCCCATCTCTGATTGTAAATCCATTCATTGTGATCAATGACTGACATTTGAAGTATATGAACTCTTTCAGCATCCAATATCTGCATCTCCACAGTGAATTCACTCGATGGCAGGTCTGGTGGTAAGAGTGTTAATATTGTCCGGCATATCTTGTTAACTTCTCACCAAAATACATTCAAAGATGGTCAATCTTGCAAGAGTTGGAAGAAAAACCCTGTATTGTTGTGGTCTTATGCGACTGTTATGCAAGCACTTTACAGCATGGAAATCCCCAATCACCTAACAAGCTGGCCATTTACACAGAAATATTACGACAATACTCGCACTCGCAAACACACACACACACACACACACACACACACACACACACACACACACACACACACACACACACACACACACACACACACACACACACACACACACACACACACACACACACACACACACACACACACACACACACACACACACACACACACACACACACACACACACACACATCCATTCATCCATCCATCTTGGCAAACATTTCCCTAATACTCCACAGGCAGTTGCCAGGTCAGATGTAATACACACAGGATGGGAAGTCGTGGGTACGTTCCTCAATAAATAATTAAAAATTTAATCCATGAAGAAAAATACCCGAGTTTATTGAGGGTGATCCTGTCAAGACACTTGCGAATGTGTACATACAGATGAATGTCACTTAAATACATTTTCTGGAGTATCTACAACACAAAGTGGTTAAAAATATGATGGATTTCATATGAGAGATACAATTAAAAATGGAAAATATTTTTTTCATCCTTTTTCTCATTTTTTTTTTAATTGTTTTTGTTTTGTTTTGGGTTTTTTTCTTGATAGTGTATACACAGTTGATGATGATCAGCTTTCCCCCTATGAAGTCTATGAGTTGGACTACACTAATGGGCACACTGGTGATACTAATGACATGACAAAGGTACATGAGATGACGACAGTGTCTTGACAGGGACTCACTTCAGAAACTAGAATTCAGGAAAAAAACAACATTACAGGTTAATTCAAAGTAACAGGTTACTGATGGTAAGAAAGAAACTGAATGTCTCTTGGTGTAACTTTCAATATGAAGACAAGAATATATTTGACTTTCACTAGCACTGAGATTAACAGTTTCAAGAACATCCTTTTGTATGAACTTGTACTCACAATAATAAGTCTGAAGTTGCAAAAATTTGAATGCTAACATAACCATCTAAAAATACTTCAACATGAGTATAAAATTAAATGGTTGGACCAGATAAATTCATAATCATCTGCAGCCTATTTAAAAATTGTTAACATGCTTGAATATCACAATGCAGAATAGAAGGGCACAATTTCTTGGTATGGTTTTACATCCTGCACAATCCAGACACAAATATGAACAAACACTAACTGACTGTAACACACTTGCAACAGCTCAACTTTCATTTCAACACACATGTACACATCACATATAAAACAGTTTCTGCCAGTTCCGCTGTCCCTTGCAAAAAAGGTCAAAATGCAACCCTCACTTTTAAAAGAAAAAACAGGCAATCTTCGGAAACACGGCTGTGAAAACGAAACGAAAATCCTAATGCTCATAATGTTTGGTCCTATGAACTTATCAAGATAGACAATTAACCAAATGAGAAGAAGTAACAGACTGAGGCTCTATCAACTACTGACACTGTTACTGATTGCAATCCATCCAACAATCCCATTAAGAGCTTCATTCTGTCCATCCCATGGTGGCGAGGAGTTGAGACGTCGGCAAGTTCTGTCTAACAAAGAACCACCACTCCTGTGGTGAAAACATAACATTCAGTCAAACCCTGACCGTTCATCAAAACAAAAGAAATAAAATGCAAACTTAAATTAGTAAATAATTTGTTTTTTTCTCCAAATTAGAAGTCTTTTCCCATTGCACTCAATTTTCAATTGAGATAGGCCAGAATTTCATTCCATCTCGTGTTGATCACTCCAACACATGTTCACCCTTCACATTCTTGTATTGAATTCAATCCAGGTTGTCATGGCAACCTATTTGTCCAACGATCAAGGCCCTTATAACCACCTGCAAGGGATCCAAGAGGCAGTTTCACTGTACATTGCCTGGTTTCAAATCCAACAAGTCCAAATCACATCAATACAGTTGCATCTTGACTCAGGAAACCTATTGGTGTAAATAACCATCTTTGGCTACTTTGCATAATATCTGTTCCTCATAAGTTGCTGTCACCATGTTTCCAATGCACCATCCAGGGAGGGGTTGCCCCGGCTTCCTCCACCTCAACCCAGCAGTGTCAGCTGTATTGCTGATCTCGCCTGTAGTGCAAGCACTAGGCAGATTGTGTGTGGGTGCTTGGATGACCGCCAAACACTGGGGCAAGAGACAAGTCAACCACTGCCTAATAAACATCACAAACTTGAAGCCATGAAAGATCAATGTTATCATGAATACTTGCAACTCCTTGCACTGGTACCTTGGTACCGCAGATGATTGTATCAATGATGAAGAACCCCTCCCTAAACACAAATCCATCAATACTTATTTCCACTATAGACCACCGAGTGGCTAGCTCCCCATGATGACAATTGCCAAGTTAGTTTTATATAAGACTAGTGTTGCATGTTATCATTTCGCTGCCACTTTAATTTCTCTCTCACTACGGTCTCGCCGCCGATCCCGCCTTTCTCGGTTTTCCTTTGCCCTCCGCTGTGGCCTCTGCTCTTTTGGCTCAAAGTCCTTTCTCACATTATCTTTCATTTGTGGCTGTCGGGCAGATGCCGAGGCCACTTTAACAGTTTGTGTTTGCTCACGCAATGTTTGGCCATTCTTGGCACTTGTGACTGCAGTTGTAACCGGGGGTGGGGACTGTTGAGGGGAGGTGTTGTTGTCCTCTTTCGTCTTCTCTCCACCGTTGCCGTCGGTGTCCCGTTTCCGCTGAACCATCTGGGCATAGCTCAGTTTCACTCCTGGAGGCAGATTGGGCTTTTCCTCCTGCTGACAACACAAAGATCGTTAACATGCATGAAGGACTTATAGTATCACTACTGCTCTACACTGTTTCATGGCTAAACAGAGAAACAAAATTGACTAAAAATATTTTGAAACAAGATAACTTACTTAGGTATTGAATGTTGTCTAATGCAATGTTCACATTATCTCACTGGGCCTGTTAATAACTGAACTGGCAAACCAGTGGCATGAGCAACGATCCATGCCATCGTGGCAGGATGGCAACAATCAGCCAAATCACAGAAACTGCCTGCCCGATTTTCTTTTGCAAGTTACGATGCTTGAGACCTTTTCTATATCATACAGGGTTTGGAAGAGAACGAATAAGTTCTGGACAATTATTAGCAATATTCCAGCAATATCTCTGCACCAGAAAACAGGTTCAAAAGTTTCACCCATTTCATGACATGAACGTGTATCTGACCTGTTGAAATCGCATGGCTACCCCACTACCCCCATACAGAGAATAAACCTCCAATTTTACATCAGTTATCAAATCATACACAAAACTATCTTGTTAATGGCTTATATGACCAAACATAAATGAATATGAGAACAAGAATTAGTCTTCCCACGTAGGATCCCCACATGAGGGCTGTGTGTAACTTACCAACAGAACTGATACACTAGATGTTGTAGGTTTTGATTGGCTAGAGACAACAACAGAGGCCTGTTTGGTGACTGTTGGCTCGGGAGCAGGTTTGGTTTCTGCTGCACTTGCAGCTTTACTTGATCTGAAACGTTATTAAGATAGGAATCTCAAAACTTTACAACACTTAATGAAACAATAAAATCGCATTTCATTTGTTTGTTTGTTGTTTAACACCGCACTCGGCAGCATTCCAGCTATTTGATGGCGGTCTGTAAATAATCGAGTCTGGACCAGATAATCCAGAGATTGACATGAGCATTGATCCACGCAATTTGGGATCGATGAAATGCATCAACCAAGTCAGCGAGCCTGACCACCCGATCCTGTTGGTTGCCTCTTACGACAACCACAGTCGCCTTTTACAGCAAGCATGAGTTGCTGAAGACATATTCTACCCCGGATCTTCACAGGTCGAATCTCATTTCGGTACAAACAAGTATTGACTATGTCAATGTTTAATCTGTGCAGTCCCATGCAGGCATAGCAATCTCCCTGCCATCCAGCTTAGGCAAGACAAACCCCCACTGAGTCAGGTTACAGCAGAGTGTCCAACTTCAAGGTCACCTTCAAGCAATGTTAATCAAGCAAGGATACAACTTTTGGCTACAGACCATTTACTTTGCCCCAGAATTGCAATAGGGGGGATATCAACAAGGACTATTCTCACTTTTGCAACTCACTTTTGCTGGTAAACAGGTTCTGCTGTGACTGCAACTGTGGCTGTTGCCGTTGTAACTGGAACTGCTGTTGGTTCAAGCACTTCCTTGACAGCAGGTGTGACGGGAGCAACAACTGGGGCTGGGGGTGGTGGAACAACAGTGGGGGACGGCGGCGTGGCTACAGGTTGTGGCGGAGGGGATGCTACCCTGGAGGCAGTGTGCTGGGAGGAGGAGGAGGGAGGAGGTGCTGTTGACTGGGGCTGTTGAACTGATTTTGTTGTACTAGGTTCGCGAACTTGGAGTCGAGCTGTGCCCTTTACAACATCAGACAACTTGCTTTCAAAACTTTCATTTGATGCAGCATTGTTCTGAAAAGTTAAAGGAACAGCTTTTAACAGTCAATAACTTCACAGGAAACAGACTTCTATATCAACATGACTAGTTACAATAGTAGTTCCAGGGCTCGAAAATAATAATTCACCAATTAACTGTAGAAAATGTTGAAGTGAGAATATTGTTTAGCACAATAGTCAGCAAACATTTCAGCAATAAGTGGTGTGAAAAAACTGAGTGAAGTACAGCAAACCAATGACCGCAATTGAGAGCTACAATGTTGGAGCAGATGACACACAATTATAAGAGTGGGCGAACACAACCACCCAAAGCTCTTACGACAAGCAAGCATGGCATATTTGGGATCTATTCTTCCAATGAATCACTGATAGAAAAGGTATGCACAATACAACTTACTAGAGAGCCAGGTAAAGGCGGGAATGACGTAGACTCTAACTCAAACTGGGGTTCCAGGCGCCCATCTCGACCAGGCATGGAAGGATTTTGCCGCTGCAACAAAATTTTGCCAAATTAGTGGCCGAAATAGAAACAATTTACAAATCCTTTAGAGTCTATTAGTGAGTTAGGTTTAACACCAAACATGGGTAACGCACCAAGACACATCATAGGAGTGAACTGGGATTCGAACACACAATCATGATGCAGGCCTGCCCAAGGGACGAAACTCTGCACAGCAAATTGCGGCACCTTAAGACGACTGGGTAACCCATGGCCCCCACTAAACCTTCGGAAGCAACATGTAACGTTAGATGTTCAGTATGCTGGTCCAGAACATGTGGCAGGAGTCAAAATTCAGTTGCTCAGCAAGTCCCAATATGATCAACAATGTGATACTCACAGAATTTTTAGCACCTTCTTCACCCCTTCTTCCTCTTTTATAACTTTTCCTGAAAAAGAAGAACCTGGTTAATTTTCCCTATCTTCAAGGGTACAGGACATATGTCTCCAGCAATCTATTTGCAGACATGTTTTGTTCACATTATTTAATTCTATGAAACAGATTCAAGTCAAATGTCGAATACTCCTTCAAAGTGAATGTTTTATGCCTGTCAGCATTATTCCAGCTGTGACACTGCAGTCTGTAATCAAGAACCTATGATGAACAGTTGGGAATGCTGGTACATGATCAGCAAAGTCGATCCTCATTCAAGCAGGCTCTTATGCTATCCACATGTTCCTCAGGACTACCATTGTGGGTGGTTGAAGGAAGACACTGTTGGCCGACTGGCCCATCACATGTTCAGTTGACAGAACACTTACCTTTGAGAGACCATGTCAGATTTATTATTTTGAGTAAGGTTGGCATTGGCATCCACTCCATGTGGCTGGACAGAGGCGTTGACCATATGAGAATTGCCTCCCATATCTCCGCGACGGGTAAAGCTTGAGATCTGGGCACTGTCAAGGCTACGGGGACTCGTTCGAGGGGCAGATACCGAGTGACGCTCATTCGTCATTCGGCCTTCAGAGTTGTTGCGTTCTTGTACCGATGACCGATGTGTTTTCATATTTCTGCTGGACAAATAAATCAAGAAAAGTGAGCGAATTGCAATTTACAAAAGAGAAGATTACCCCCCTATTTGCATAGACCTCACAAAACACAAGGCTCGATTTAGCTATATAAAACATACACCACTGCAACCAATTATTGAAAAATGCAACCTAATATTTCTGTCTATATGTACCTAATGCATGTCAAGTATTTTCATATTTTTGTCGAACCCTTACTTGTTCACACAACATTGATTTTTGAATACTCAATACCTCTATGCTTTATTTACTGTAACATCACTGATCACGGTTACATATTGGTCACGCTTTTGCTTGCTGGGAGTCCTCAAACTTCAAGATTATGTGCACATGTTCCCACTACATTTTACAGCTAAAAACATCATTTACTTCTGTGACATTTTACGAAGCAGACCAGCCTAGACATCTAGAACAAGTTCTTGCTTCATCTTTCTCAGTTGTTATGAAAGAAAATCCTGACAAGCAGTTCAGCTGCGGACAATAGATCACATGCCAGTCGTAATTCAGCGGCCCTGGTCTGTTTCAAATATGTCAATTTCATCTATGACCAGTAATTAACTTCATGTTGATACCTCGACAGCTACAGTCTTCATGAGTACTGACACTGAGTAGCTTAACTGTAGCTGATTCTATCACCTGAGCACCATGTGACCTTATATTTAGATTATCCAACTTATGAAGGTCACTATGCATTATATGACGGTCACCACTGATCACAGTACCACATAACTACTGTGACGGTAAGTATTAACTGTATCCAAAAATCATAACACAATCATCAGATATCTGACATTGTACTTATTTAGACTAGTAAATGCAGTGACAAACTAACAGTTTTAGTTTACTAGTCCTTTTGACAACTATTAGGCAGTTGCCAAGGACTAAAGGACTCGTGCCACTTTCTAATGTTGTTATGCATCTGTCTGATCAATTAATGGGACCAGGGCGCAACCTGGTTTTGTTTGGCACAGATAGGTTTTTATGTCAATATGCACCAGGAGCAAGTTATATCAAGTTCCTTAAATCGAGCCCTGATTTGAAATGATTAAACCTTACAACATTTAGATGCAATATTGAAAGACCATCTTTCCTGGTGGTAAGCTTGAAGACATAATTGTATGTCGGGGCGAAGTGTTCAGCATTTTAACACACACTTCTAAACATCCATCACAATCCAGTTTGAAGTTATCTCCCTTGATCAACAGGCAATATTATCCACCAAAAAATAAAGATGACACCACCATTATCCATGTCACAAACAACTTATGTGGCATTCAAACAATAAAAAAGAGAATTAATGGAAGTCAACCTCTTTATTATGAGTAACAACCTTTTGGAGCATATACTTACTCCTTCATAATAATAAAGAAGTTGACATCTATAAATTCTTTTCCTCATGAGTATCACATCTAAATGCCTTTCAAAGACTTGATTCGAACCATGGACTGGTAGGTCTGATGTCTCTGCTTAAAACCAGAAAATTCTCATTTCTACAATGTCTTGGAAATAGGACTATGGACAAACAAGAGAATAACCCACTCACAACTGGAATTATTATCCGTCCCAACTTACAAACTGAATTCACGTGGGACAATCCATAATTTATCATTGCTTGTGGGTTACTCTCTATAATCCCTGGTGCTAATCTTTACCTGTTGGTTCTTGCATTGCTTTGGAAGATATGTCTGTTTGTGGACGCTGTGGGTTTTATACTCGTGGCCTGGTAACCGTTCATTTGAAACATCTACAATATTCAGAATGGCAATATGAGTACAATGCTTCATGCAGGGGGTAGAAAAGCTCTACTACAATCCTCTTGACAAGAATTTAAGAAAGAATTAGTAATGAGTAGAGACAACCAGTTAACCACAAGGTGAAATCTATACCAGAAATAAGTTATGCCGCAATGAATAGAATACACTGTGAACAGTGACACTGACAGAATACAACATTCAACATCAAAACAGTAGGTTGAATCCTTTCCAAATGTAGGACTCAACCACCGAGCAGCCATATTTATTGATAGCAAATTTGAATACATTCCCAGCAAACAATACAGGTATATTTCGAGCTGTTTTATAAGAGACCATATGTAACAGAACACAACAAACAAATCCCCCACTGGGAACCATAACCTAACAGGTTGATACTGAGCCTAACAACACCACAGAATCAGCCAGGGTTAGCAAACAATCTAGGACACCAACTGAACACAAAACTATCATTAGTAACCAAAGCAAGCAAAATCTGCCTCAGCAGAACTCACACAGCAGTAGGCTGACAAGGGGCTGGGACAGAGTTGATATCATCACTTACATCTACCTACCTCCATATCAACATTTACTTTACTGGGGTGACAAAAGTCTTCAACTAGTCCTTAACTGATGAAATTATCTGAGCAACTTTGGTTTTGGTATGAAAGAGTGAATGGTCTTGTAAAAAAATTCCTTTTTAATAAATGTATTTAATTATGAAGAAGGAAATATCAGAATCACCTGCATATCACACAGGGTTATTTCTTAAAGAGAGTATATTGGAAAGATTTGTCTAAAAGCAATCAGCATCAAAAGGTTGTTTGCAAATTTCACAAATATGGATTTGAATCTTGGTACCAAGACTTAAGGTTTGAATTTGGAAGTTACCATCTAGTGTTAAACACCACTAATGAGCCAGTTGAGCACGTTGTTGCCTTTAGGTCTGTGTGATGCCTGCTACGGCAGTTCCAGGGTTTCCCCTCTCTCCCACTGGAATATTCACCTTGTATTTACTTACCGCTCCGGGATCAAGAAAGGGGGTGGCAGAGGGAGCCCAGGGGGACATTACCGTGGGGCTCAGAGGGTAGAAAGGAAAAGGCTGCAAGAGATCAATGTTTAACACATGAACAATTTCAAACAATCACTTCAGGCACATATCTGCTTATACCTACATTTCTAATTATCTCACAAGGTTTGACATCTTTTCTACAATATTAATTTTCCTACACTTAGATGCATATTCAATTCATATCTCAGAGAATATTGGACATTGTGTCACTCCATGTTGGTGTGGTGTCATTAATCAATGACACGCAATCAACTAAGTCATCGAGCCTGACCAGCTTAGGTTGCTGAGGACCAATTCTAACCCAGAATCCACATGGGTCCATGTGAGTGTGTTTGACAAGACATGGTAGTTTCAACTCATGGTGACCCTTTGAGCTTTATGCTTGTCCTACCTGCTGTCCATTACCAATGTATTGCACGGAGGCAGGCTGCACCATTCTGTAAGGTTGCTGTTGTGCCTGCTGTTGCTGTGGCTGTTGCTGCTGTGGCTGTGGGATGGGGTAAGTTGGCTGCTCTGCAGTTCCTTGGAAAGGCACTTTCATGCCATTCCGCGGCACAAAAGTTGATCGTATCAATGGCTTGGCTTTTATCCTTGCCTAGAAACAAGATGAGGCTATGTGACAGGGCAGTGACACATTAGAAATCAAACATGAAGTTAGAAGATACATTATTCGCACCAGCAGCTGACATCTTAATACATGAAACAGTCATTCTTGATTCAAGCAGTGAGCAAATACATGTTCAAGATATCTCCCATACTACAGCTACATCCTGTAAAGACATGAGACTGGAATAGTCATTTCATGACTGCCTAATTCTTAACACAGTAGTAAGTAATACTCCAGCTACATACTGCCTATAAATTATTGTTTAGTTTGTTTGTTTTGTTTCCAGCTATATGACGACAGTCTTTAAATATTCAAGTCTGGACCAGACAATCCAGTGATTGACATCATGAGCATCGATCCACGCAATTGGGATACGATGACATGTATCAACCAAGTCAGCAAGCCTGACCACCCAATACCATTTGTCGCCTCTTACGGCAAGCATGGGTTGCTGAAGACCTATTCTAACCCACATCTTCACGGGTCCTATAAATCATTGATTTTGTAACAGACACAGTATGGTATTATAAGCAATGTCCCTCACTGCCTGGTACAATGCCTCGTAGACAACCATGTCAGAGTCTGACCACTAGATAATTTCAAATGCCTCTAACATTAAGCATACATGACATGGGAATAATTCTAACCCAGAGGGGTCATGATGAATACTCAGTGTGTAGAAGGCACATGATTAATCTTGGTACACAGTGTTACCACCAATTCCCATTTTAGTAACCTTTTGCAGAACTAGGAAATTATCGTGCTCCAGAATCCTTACCAATTGACTCATCTTTCATATGGCAGGAGTCCAGAAATGGCCATCTTTTACCAACACATTTGTTTCAGATTGGCATAAAGTGACTTTAATACATAGCAGGGATGCATATTCACACACTTACCATGATAGGCCTGTCAAGAAAGGTGCGTACTTCCTCTCGCAGAAACTGGTAGGCACGTTGAGCATCCTCATCAGATTCAAATGTCACATACCAGCTGTTGTTGTGAGCGAATTCACAGCTGACAAAAGGTGGACAGTTCTCTCCCTTAAAGAGCTGCTGTACATCCTGGAAATCAAAATGACTTAACTTAAAAAGTGACATATATCAAAGAGAGGTGCGGTAAAATGGGGTTTAAAGTTTCCAAGATTATTGTATTTATAACTCGACATAAATAAATGTGTGAGTGTGTGTCTCCTTGTACTGATCCAGACTAGTGCCAATTTTATCGAGCTAGCCCACTGAGAAATCATGCCGCAGTTAAACATGAATACCCCACTCAGACACAGTATACTGACTCAAGTGCTGACCAGAGCTGTTTTATCTCCTTAATGCCGAGCGCCAGGCAGGGTAACAACAAGTACCATCTTGTAATGTCTTTTGGTATGATGCAGGCAGGGATTGAGCCCCTGACCTTCCACTCTCCAGGCAAATGCTCTACTAGACCATGGAGGTAGTCCATATCCAAGATAAGTAAACAAGACATAAACCTATGAATCAGCAAGCTTCCCAGTTTGTAAAGCATTCATTATTCACATGTATGTTTCTATTCAGGTTGCAGGAAAGTAATTGAAAAGTGCGCTCTTGCTTCAGCAAATGATGTAATTTATTCTTGAACTTACTTCTACAGGTGTGGTATCCGGAATCTCCCTCAAGATGACCACACATCTACTGTGGTTTGGTCGAACTTTCTCCCCCTTCTCATCTACCTGGACTGAAGGAGACCCTGCAAAGTAATAAAAACAACATGTACATCTCATTGACAATTGTCCAACTGGACAAAGACTTCATCCACTATCAACAGAAAATAATTCAATAATGAATATAATATTTGTCCCCACTATTAAAACTATCAACCTATTACATGTTCATATTCATTTATTTTTAAATGTGTCTGCAGTAGTCATTGCAAGAGCATTGCATCAGTCATACTTCAAGGGAGACAACTCATTTTGCCTCATCAAGTACATAAGAAATACAGTCAAACATGTTGTGTTGAACTTTGATGTGTCAACTTATGCTTGTCTCGAATGAACAAAAGCTTGGTCCCTGTGTATTCCTTATTCATTTATCATTTTAGTTGTGTCGAACCTTGGATGAAGTTTTTTCTTTGGACCCTCCAACTTCAACACAATGGTGTTTGACTACAATTGTACAATCCATGTTACATCCATATCAGAAATGAAAGTAGTTCATAAAATCAATGTAAGATTCAGTCACAAAGTTAGCATAATTAGTTTATTTTCAACTGATGAGATATTCAGAGCTTATTCCCAATACATGTAACAATATTGACAACACAAGGAGAATACTGACTCCGGAGGACGTCTACAATGAGCTGGAGGTTGTTGGTGAGCTTCTGGACCTGGTTGAAGTTTGCCACTGTGGCAATAGCCACATACTGATCCGGGTCCATTTGGGACTGCAGGTATGTGTCGTGGACAAGATTTTCTCTGGAACAAACAAGCAGAGTTTTTGTGTGAAGGGTGGTCACAGTGCAGCACTATCATCTGTCCTAGTGCTGGTGCAGACAAACTAGCAGCAGAAGTAGACACTGGAACTAGAATCCCTAGCAGCAGAGGTAGTCACTGGAACTAGAATCCCAAGCAGGAGAAGTAGTCACTCAAGCCAGAAAACCTACCTGGAGAAGTAGTACTCAAGCTGAGTCTGCAACAGTTGTCGGAGCTGATCTTCTGGGATGGAACCCTCGAGCGGCATGCTGCCATCCTCAGTGGATGCTGCAAGGATTCAACACTTATCAATACACATATCATGCATATCACTTCTCAATCACCTAAACATATTGCGGACAATCACATTGATACTACAGCAAAGAGTATTGCTGCAATCAGTATAAAACTACATAATGAAGGATGTCTTTGCCCAACACTGATACTAAACACTGAAAAGCAAGGGCTGCCTCACTGTATCAATCATACTGACCATGTTCACAATTCAAAAGATTTACCTTGTGTCCACAAAAATGTCAATGCATCAAAATGAATATTGAACTGCAACCCAAGTCAGCATCAGCTGTGCATCCTACTTATCACCTACTTTAGGTGATACCCAAGTACGAAGCAGATCTACATACCAACAGATGCGTTGTCATTGGTGAGAGCATTCTGGTTGTCATTGAAATTTGCAGTGGCTGTGTAGTCTGTGACTGAGACAGGCGAGTCTGCTGTGGGGAAGGTGGGCCCGCTGCCTGTGCTGCTTGTGCTGCCACTGCCGCTGCCCACACCCACCACAGAAGGCTGCTCTAGCTTCACATCCCCATTGGGCTGACCCTGGTAGGCTGCACAAAAGCAATACAATACATGTCTGGAAATGGGGCACAGTCAGAAGTCATGAAGGCAAAGTAATAACAACCTACTTACAACAGCTGAAGCCTATTCACCAATGAATCACAATATATTAGATACATGACATGCCTCATCTTGTATGAATAAATATGCTTTTATAAATTGATTTAATTATCTGGAACAATTGTTGATGATAAGACAGTATGGTGTCATCATACACAGTAATGTATTGAGAATGATCAGATAGATGTCTTAATTTAAAGAACATGAACATTAGACATAGTTTAGAAAATATCACATATGTTCCCATTTAGTTAAAACATTTTCTCCAATGATGTGTCACATCACAAGGTTTGACATAATGCAGAAATGTACATCCACTACACACACGTCCAAAATTGACAGACAAAAACCCATTCACTGCAGCAATTTCTTCACAAGAATTAAAAAGGTTATGTAATTATCAAATCGTACAGTGAAGCACTCTACACCATTTCTTTATTTTACAGGACCAATATATATCCTGTAAGGATCCATGAAATTAATAATTTGGTGTTCTCCGGACCACTAGTTTTGTTGGTTAAAGGTAAACCCTGATAACAAATCAAGTAAATCAGTCACTGACATTACTTAAAACCATAATTAGGCCTATAATATTTCAAATTTGTATACACATTTTTTTATTATTTTTTAGATTTGGTGCATGTTCCCTTGCTGAAGAAGAAAAGATGACTGACTCATCAGCTAACTGTTTTATAGATATGTGTGTCAATTACATATATATTTACCATTGATATTTCTGACCAGGAGGTGAATGGCATCATTTTTAGAATAATTTACAATTACAGACATGACTTGTTATTAATCTCTAAGCTCCACAGCAGATTTACAAGACTCAAGTATTTTGTCTGTACTGTCTGTACTCTACACTGCCATGGTAAAAAGGATTTAAGGGCTATGTTGTAGTATGGTTGACAGCTGACAAGATACTGTTAATCATTGAGGATGGAATCAATGGCAACATCTGCCACACCTACCCACCACATACACCATCTCCCACCAATCAATTAAAGTAATGAAACACCCAATATTGATTTTAACTGTAGTCTCACAACGGTGTCCCTGCATGTAGCATGCCTCCAGAATCAAATTCAAATTCGAAATGATATTTCCTTGCAATTATCACATTAGAGCTTTGATTGAGATGCAACATCCCATCTGGTCATCCTGTTGGAAACCATGGTGTAATGTCATACATTACATTTCACTTACACTCTCAAACAATCATTACTCACTTTAATTTCAACCACACTCGCCAAATGATTATCACTTGAGAGTACAGACATAATATATCTTGTCATAACACAAGAACAAGTGATAATTGTTTTAATGACAACAGCATGGAATACTTGACATGTTTTATTCATATTATTAATCACTGTGACAGGTGCTACCACTGTGCTCTGCATGGAATACCATTCAATTTGCAATTTGTGGTTTGGTTACTTGACACTGGGAGGTATAGGACAAGACATGACAAACAACATCTATTGTCACTGTTCAGTTTTAAAGTTTTGGAAATTAGCTCTATATTTACAACGATGCACTCACAATGTTCCCTGAAACACAATACACCCCTGTGCAGCCTCAATTACACCAAATAAGCATCCTTCAATATTAAAGTTTTAGTGAGAATCTGGAATCTGAAACAAATTCAAAGCTCAAAGACACCAGCATCCACCTTACTATTTGTCACTACCATAGAATAATCAGTTTTTCTGTCAATTTCTCAGATATGATTTGCATAATGCAAATAACTATTTTCATCCTAGTTTCAAACTCAGTTAAGAAGTATAGCACCAAGAACAGGACTACGCAAAGATTAATTACTAATAACTGAACCATTTTCCAGAGAACATGTCTCCACAGAAGCAAGACAACCAGAAGCTATTCTTATAGATCTACATCCCTACTTCAGAGGGAAGAATCACAAAGATAATAAGTATTGATGACATAACTAGAAATACAAAGGGAACTGAAAGAAATCTAATATTTTCCATATGTTCTATTTTGGGCACAGTTTATGAACCTGTGTAGTAAGTTAGTAGCCAGACATGTAGTTGGTATAGGTAATGGCAAACATTTTCTGTACACAGTGACAATAAACGTCAGGGCAACTGGCTCCATCAGTTGCAAAACAAGCCTACAGTCAGCTGCGACATGTCAGCCTCAAGTTTTGCAATATCAACTAAACAAACACCAGCAGACTCTGGCAGATTGACCTTATCATGAAAGCCTCCTATACATACACACTGTCACCTCCATGAACGTAGTCATTAATTCCCTTTTATCAATTATTGCAAGAAGAAAAATTGTGTCATGTACTTTTTGAATATAACTTGTAACACCTGTTTGGGTAATGAAATAATTGTCTCTTTTCTCAAATCATTTCCTGTGGACTATTAAATTGAAATATTTTAAAATAGTTGTACGGTTTGAGGACTTTTACCCTGAAATTTTTTTTTTATAAAAACAAACCATCCCGATACCAAGAGTGTCTTAAGGATAAATGAATAATACAACATGTTTTTTTAATATATAATTGACGTTATCTACGTTAAGAACTAGGTGTTTGCACATGCATAAACAAAAGCAGCCCAATGTCCGACATTTGCTGAATGCCCCTAAAACTTTCCCACCAGAAACATGTACCATGAACCATTTTGATTTGACCTGAGTGACAGATGACCCAGGGTTTTGTACCTTCCCTTTGAAAAGTGAGGGTCCAGAAGACCTCCTATAATTAGTTTTAATGGCCCTTGCAGGTAATATGATGGTCCTGTAAAGTAGTGAAATGGTATAGTGTAACATACATTTAGATCCTTTCTTTAGAGCCTGGAATGAATCAATGATGTGAACAGTGGTTATAATTGATGGATGAAATAACAGACACCCATAATTGCTCTTTATACGCTGTAGGTACAATGAATATTCAATATTGCGCATCCCTTGGGATGCAGCATATATTTTTTTTCTTGTGCAGTGCATCCGTTCTCAATGTTTGTGCATACTGGACACACACTTGCATGGCACGTAGGATCCTGTGACCTCACCAATATATATATATCTGCATTCATTTTTTATCTCTACTGATTTCGAACGAAAAACAGTAAAATCCCAATGATTAGAACAAAATATGACAGTGTTGTAAGGAGAAGCATATAAGCCAAAGTTCAGATTCCTCTGTCTGGCATATTCAGAGACGTGAACAGGGACAAAACAGTACACATTGAGCATAAATGGCTTAGCAGTGGCTATAAATAGGTGCTCAATATAACTGCAATGGCAACCATATTGAAACTCCAATTCAAAACTCTTGAACAAATTAGGGTTTCATAATTTTAGAAAAAATCATGTGAAGTTTAAACTTCATTGATTCAGTGGTTTCTAATGCAATGCATCTTGAGTGAATTAAAGGGCACGGTAATATGAAGGTCAACATTTAAAATACTGCAAAGAAAACCTACAAGAATATGTTTTGAGACCTAACTACACATGTACAAAATTTCATACTTAATTAAAAACTACGGAGTAATGGCCATAAGAGAGCATTTTCAATATGGATGTGTGGCCAAATTGAAAATCTTATTATAAACTCTGGAACAAATTGGGGTGTCACTGATCAAGTGGTTTCTAAGGAGAACATGTTTAGGACATTTGACTGACAATTTTTTGGTATTTTCAAACATGGCCATTGGCAGCCACATTTCATTTCTATCAAAACAACTTGAAAAACTCAGTATTTCACACAGTGACCATCTCGCCCACAAGGTTTCAAGTCTCTGCCCTTTGAACTTTTTTTAATGACACCATACATGAGGCAAATTTGTTTCCATAATTGAGGTGTAAAGGTGAACAAAATTTGTATAAACGGTTACAGTAAAATAAATTTTCATAACTGCCCACCTCACATTGTCACTGCTTCCTTTACATGATGAAGTACATCATTGAGTCCTTCAAAGTATTTAAGATTGTGGATGCAAATCTAACATTTTATTTATTGTGGCCTCACATACAAAAGGCATACAATAGGTTTGCTGTTGGGAGGAGTGAGGTTGATTGAGTATGGTTGATTATCCATAATCAGATAGATCATCGATGGCAAAAAATATAAACGATTATCAATATGAAATCATTGTTATCGATAATAACTTACATAAACTATTGTAATTTATAACAATAAATCTATTGTAATAATAGGTCTATTGTAATAAAGTGAGTGAGTGAGTGAGTGAGTGAGTGAGTGAGGTTTTACGCCGCTTTTAGCAATATTCAAGCAATATCACAGCCGGGGTGACACCAGAAATGGGCTTCACACATTGTACCCATGTCTGAAATCGAACCAAGGTCTTCGGCGTGTATTGTAATAAAGACTTAATTTACTTAATGAAGCAGACTTGTCATTGTCAATAATGTCAAATGCTAAAGATGGAAAGTAACAATTTTTGTTGTATCTTGTCCACAAACTAATCCATGCAGAAATGTGCCACAACTCACCAGTGTGTCAAATATCATGATTCTTTTCAGATTTTTTTGGGCATATTTGCTCAAAGTTATTTCACTGATATTTCTTGACAACTGATCAATATTTAGTTAACAATTATCAATCTCCCTGATCTGTATCAATAGCCAGGCTTAGAGTGAGGACCTACCTGTGTCTGATCCCGGACTATCCCATTGCGTCGTGGAGTCTGGCGAAGCAGGTGACTTGCTGCTCAGGAAGACATTGGCATTGGGGTTGAGGCCGGGACCTGGACTCTTGGGTGTGACCTGCAACACAGACAGTGACAGCGTACTAAATAGGAACTGATCAGCTCAATTTCCTTTGCACTAAGCTTTGAACATTTCAAAGTTATCTCCTCAAAAATACCTTTTCTGCTGAACATTTCAAACTGTTTCATATATAATTTGAGGCAATACAAACATGATTTTTTTTCATGAATAATCATTGCACAGATTTTTAAAATCTATTTCCATGTGACCTTTGCCTTCTGACTTTGATCACGAATGAGTACATTCTGAAGAGGCCATTAATAATCTATTTCTTCTTCTGCAAATTTATGATTTTCATTAGCAATGTTCTCATCGAGACAAATTAAGTATACTTTAACATGTTTTAGCACAAAGTGGTTACAATTATGTCTTTTTATGTTTTCAAACTGCAAACAAATTGAACAAGCACTTGACTATTAGCTGACACACTACAACTAAAACCTTGTTTAGCGCACTAGCGTCAGGAGTCGGGATTTTCAAATCGTTAGACAAAGTTGAGGGGTTGGCCATGTTGATTTTCGACCTTGAAACTAGCTGAAGCTCTCACCAAGTGCAAACACCATTTTGTCCGACGGGTGGGTGGGCGTCAAGAGTAGAGCCCATGGAGATGCTTGCTAAATGGGTTATGTCGGTCAGTCAGTCAATATAAATGGGGTTCACTGGTACACTGTCTTCATTCCGATAACCAGTTCATGGACACGGGTGCATCACTAAGTAGATTCCAGACTGGCGCTGAAGCCGGCCTGGACAAAGACTGGTTTTCAGCAACAGAAGCAGAGTGAAAGTGTGTCCTCCAAAGATCAGGAACACTTCACTGGGGAGCCCCGATTCCATTATCAAGCAAAGATCAGACAAGGGCAGAAAGTTATCATGAGGTTCAGATGGGATCATTGTCATCAAATCAAGGATTGACACATCCTTACTTTGGAGCAAGAACTTTTAAAAACAAAAAGTCTTTTCCTTTCTACAAGCTTCCAATTCCTATTACCAAATCTAAATGCTTATCAATTTTTGTCATAACGGGTTCAGCCTCCAATTCTGGTGCATGTTGTCTATGCTAACAGTGACGTGACAGCACAATCAGATCACACCCAGGTTTTCCCTTGATGTAGTAAACTTATGTGTGTTACAGTCTTACACATTATGACTTTCATGAAATAACCTTCTGCATCACACCGGACAACTTACATAAAAGGTAATGCTTCACCGACGATATTTCCGCAAAGAGCTGACACAAGTACAAGAATGTAATTTGAACGTAGAACGTAATGTTACAAATCACACAACCCCTATTCATTGACAGAAACTCATTAAACCAATTGTCTTTACACAGCATATCAAACGGAGAATGAACGAGGACTCTGTTGAAATTATCAATGTTTGCATAGAAGTCGTCATCCTGACTCTTGACTTTATCACAAGGGAAAAGCCATGAAATGACTCCATCCTTGTCATTTCCACCTGCCCTCAAACCACATGAGCGTTCTTAGCAATGACGACTCCGTCCAGTCTATGAAGAGGGACAAATTAGTTGGACAGAAGTTAACTCAGGCCACATCAATCTTCATCATAACGTTGTTCTAGCTTTCTAAGGATTAACAATAAATCCAGATGAAAATAGCATTAAACATACTATTATCGTTAGAGGCTGCTTTCTCCCTGAGTGAGTAGCTATAGACTGGCTGAACATCCCTGACACTAGCCTCATGGCACGACAATTGTCTCTACGCCCACTGCAAAGCAGTGGCCTACATACCCAAAACACTAGCTGCTTCAACTGTTTACTCAAAAACATGGAAGTCATTCCAGGTGCAGCTAAATGTTGTGAGTTCATAACTCGGCCTGAACACAGCCATGTACATATATTTAAGAAATGTAAGTCATCAAGAGACATACTTGCATTCTAGCCCAACCCCAAGAAGGTAAAGTAGTACCAGTGCTTCCCCCTCAGTTTTCTTCATGGTGTCACAGACAAATATCAGAAGAAAGTTCTTTTATATAAAATATTTCCCTGTTTTTTCCTAAACCATTTATCAAGATTATATTCCAAAATCAGGTGACACAATTTTATACTAACAGTTTTCGTCCACTAGTCCTTATAATGATAACATATAGCAAACCCCTTAAAAAGGTCAAAGTTCTACTGGTCCTTATGATACCTTAACTATAGGGCAGTTTGGCAAGGACTTTAGGACTAGTGCCAATTTCTAACGCTGTAAAAATCAATACATTTAATCATATACACAACTTGTAAATTGTTATCATGGATATTTCTAGATGTCATTTGATAAGAAAGATGACAAAAGCTAGAATGTCAATCTACTCAGTGTAATTAACTTGTTGTGTAGGCTGATGGAACTTATGCGCTTCTCCTGACCTACACTTTCATAGCGCCAGACAGATGACTGACAGACAGACAGTCAGTCAGGCTGACAACAGGTCTGGGACTTCCATGACAGATATCACTTCCTGGCAAGTCTTAACTCTGCTAATTCCACTTGATGAGTTTTCAGGGCTTATTTGTCCCTGTGTGTTTGTACAAATGAAAATAAACAGAAGGACCTAAATGGTAAAGCAAGAAGGCCACTTTGCCTAACCTAGATACAGGCCCCAGAGGAGGCAGGAGGTTAGCTCTAAGCCAGCCTGTTCACACCTACCCATGTGCTCACACATCCACAATTCTAAAGTCAATTTCCCACCTGGACGATTGTCAGGAGAGGAAGGAAGATGAGAAAGGACCAGCACATGTCCAGCCTTTCAAATATGTAGTCACTGAGTCAAAGAAGGTTGTGGGAGCAATCAGTCACTACTTTGTCTTGTAATATATCCCCATACAAGATAAAACAAAAATGCCACATAGCCTAACATGCTCAATAAAACATGATCGCAAATTTGCCTTCAAGACAGACTTTAACTGAAGCGTGAAAGACATCCCACATATATGCATTGGGTCAAAATCATTTTTTTCAATGTCATTGATAGTTTCCGTTTGGATTGTTCAAATTTATTTGAGACAATTTATGAGACGTTAAACAGATTCCAACAAGTTTTTAGAACTTTGTCAAATTCACAAAAAACATTTAACATTATAAGCATGGAAAAGGTCAAATATTATAAGGGATATTTTTCTCCTTCATTTTTTTTCAGAATTGACACATGTCAACAACGCTAATATCTGATATCAATTCCAGGACTATATCTTCTCATCGAAGTCATTGACAGCCATTCCGTTGATTTATTTCTAATGGCACAAGTGCTTCATGGCCAATGAAAATGCCATGCCAGACACAAACATTCTTATTACTGTTTGCATACAAAGCCTGCTGAGCCCAGCTTTCACTACAGGGGTACTTCAAACCAAAAGGGACTGCTGTATTATTAAGCCTAGGCCCCCGTGAAACAATGGCTTTAGCAGATCAACTTTGTGATCATGTGACGTTTGACTTGTCACGAACGAACAAAAAAACAAAAACAATAAAAATTGATCAATATGGAGAAAGGTATTTGCAATATTGGACTTTATTTTTGTTAAAAAATTCTAAAATGACATGTCGCAAGGCTGGACTGTTTATCAGAATTTCTCCAAAATATGGAATGGTAACATGAGATGATCCAAGCTGGTGGAGGAGGAACTAGCTAACAGCATGCATTAAAACCTCTCATATCAACATAATTGTCAGGCCAGAAATTATGTCCAGAGAATGTTTAGAAAAAAAGAGTTGACACATCACAAAGAATTCAAAACAATATACACATAATACAGGTTGAAATAGTCCTTGGAATGCTAATTTTACAAATGTATGTGACAGTATGGAAAGTAAGAGGCATGTTTGGACAATAGCAAAGGTCAAAGGTAAACTTGTGACATACCCTCTTGGTCGACTGGCCTCTCTTGACACAGAGCACACAGGAATTTGCCGAATAGTAATACACATCTCCGGGAAGCATGTATAGACCCTGTTGGCACCAAACTACACTGGAATGTGGCTACAACTCTACTGGTGCGACACCACCGGGCTAACATATGGTTCACTTCACATCACAATACAAGACCCACTGAGTGGAGCAAGTCTCTCCAATCCCCTTCCCAAGCATGCTTAGCTGCTTCCCTGATTCGGATTTACTTGCAGGCGTCCGTGGGGCCAGGTGTGTCCGTGTGCCTGTCCTTCGTGTGCCTGATCCAGTGGACACTGAGTTAGGTCACAGCAATAGCATACAGAGGAGGCACGGCAGTCTCCTTACACTGTGTCAGCCATGCTCACAATGCTCCCGAGTTGGCTGGCTGGCTAGCTGCCTGGCTCTGCCTCCTGGCTATGACCAACAAGCGAGGACTTCCTTCACTATGACAAACGAAGAGAGAGAGGGAGGGAGGGAGGGAGGAGGTGGTCGCTGCTTCACTATGAAGCAGCAGTGTTTCTGTGTCCCTACCTAATACACTGTGGCTACATCATTAGCATCCATGGTTCATCTACCCACACACTGAGCCACTGTGCCTGTCTTACTGGCTGTTCTTGGCCAGCTGCTGCTTCTAGATAATAGATGAAGATGTCATGTGGTGGTGGCGGCGTGGCTCCGACCAGTGACACTGTATTACACAATGTGACACAAGATGAGGACAGTCACTTGCCCACAGCCTGTTGTTAACCTGCTAGGCTAACCTACATCTCGCCTGCCTGCCTCTGTCTTCACCTGTCCAATCTGTCATCCATGGTTCATTTCAAAACACATGTCTGTCAGATGCTGATTCCAATCTCAACACAAATCAAAACAATAGAGAAATCTATACCAAACACACACACAGACACGATCCAAAGTGTATCATCAAGTGAGGCAGCTTCATTCATAGATTGTTGTCAGCTGACTACTGACGTAATAGCAATCCCGGTACACAAGAAACCAGCACTCCATGCTTGCCTGTGTCATGGGAATCATGTACACTGCCCTATATAAAGATAAGGCCACTGTCCACAATAATAACAAGCCTGAGATTATAATAGCCACTGGCTAGTCCAGAGAAGGCAGTCTCACTGACCACTAGACAAACAGCAGCCCACACCAAGGAGACAATGAGCTGGTTGCTATGGAAATCCTCAGTGTCAGGAAGGTGGGTGGCAGAAATTAACACCAAATGAATCCGTGGCAGAAATAGCCATCATTGCCAGCACCGGGCAGGCAATGGCCAAGTCTGACGTAGCAACGGCCGCCAACAGCGACCAAATTGTGTTACCGCGACAGTGGTTCAATTGAGACATAATCCATGGATGTTCATCTCATCAGTACTTTGACATTATAAATCTGGCCTTTGTATCATTTGCAGCAAGAATCAATATGGTCTATTATTAGCATGGAGAAATACACCCTTACAATTAACTGCAATATTACAATCACAACTATAGTCATGTTTCTCGTTTAAAAGAAAATTAGCAGAATTCAAAAGCTGACATTGGGTGAGCAAAGAAACTTGATCTCAGTACTGTGAATCAGAGAGCAAACCCTTTTCCGTTACGTGTGGGATGAGGAAGCAATTTAGAATACCTGTAAAAATCAATATTTACTGGAGTTTTAAAAATATCTGTCCTACTAAAGTTGACGAGAACTTATTGAACCTCTCAGTGACCTGGCTATTTGGGGGAAGCTCATCATTATATTGGCATAATGTGATTTGTGCAACACAGTTCTCCATTTGCTTTACATTGAAGCATGACAACCTGTCAGGCAGCAATTAGGTCAAGAGTAAAAAATCCTTTCAATACTATTGAATGAATGATTTTTCCTGTTATTACATAGCTCTAGAGCAAAATCTTGTGTCCTTGTCATATTAAAATCTAGCTGGAATAAATAAGTGAACAAAGTCTGCAAAGAATTATGTAATGATTTCCATTCTTCCTGCTCAACTATGAAACAAAATTGAGAAATATTCAGATGACAGATGACAAATAGGTATATTATCCATGATGTTTGTTGATTAACGCCGCACTCGGCAATATTCCAGCTGTATGATGCTCGTCTGTAAATAATCAAGTCTGGACCAGACAATCCAGTGATTGATATGAGAATCGATCCACACATATGGGATACTATGACACCAAATCAGCTTGCCTGACCACCCGATCCCATTAGTCACCTCTTATGACAAGCATAATCCCCTCTTATCACAAGCACAGTCACCAGTTTCGACAAGCATGGGTTGCTGAAGACCTATTCTAAACTGGATGCTTACAGGTTATTTTATCCAAGAAAGGAACATTGGCATCAATGACAGAAGATAGTTTTGGTGAAGTGTTTTGATGAAGTAACATTAAATTAAAATAAACACATCTCATCAAACAGTACCATATCAGGTATTTTTTGTAAAAAGAATCCTTCACTAGATTCAGTCAATCTATTGTCAGAACATGAAGATGGCTGGAGTGCCATAAGGGAGGCAACTCTGACATGTCTTGCATTAACATAAAGCAGGGTATTATCATTAGACTAGCATCTGCTTGAACCGCCTACGTAGCACTCCGCATTACTGAGATCAATACCCTCAGTCGTGGGGAGGGGGAGGAGGATTAGTTAGAGGATGGGGAGTGAAGGATGGTGGAGGAAAAATGAAGGGAGGGGCTGCAGAGGAAGACAGCAGTTTGTCATTGGAAGGGAACCTTCGGCTGTGCTGATCAGTAAAAGGTTGCACTACAAATTTATGAGCTGTCCTGACAGACTATATTTAGGTAATCACAGGGATATCTATCACATATTCTCATCTCAGTTCCTCATCAATCGTGGAGAGGCAGTTATTTCTTTGTGTAATATGCAGGTAAAATGTAAAGAACAGGTATCTCATGAAGACTTTTACTCAGCTCAGTGTTGGTCACTACAAACTGAAGAATGGATATTCCAATTTAATCACAGACAAAATAGACTTTTTTATCAAAGGCAATCAAAATCATTTTGCATGTTGCCATCATTCTTCTGAAACATTAGAGACCAAGGTTTTAGGTGACATTAAAAACATTACTGAAGAAAGGATTGACATCCCAAATTGTATCCAATGAGAGAATAAATCCTGGATCTAACAAGAAAACAGCATTATGCCCTGCCCCACCATGGGGCACATTAAAATTTTGTTTGTTCATATAGTAGCAAACGAACTATAAAAATGAATCCCATTAATCCTTAAGAAGAGATAGGTACTTGAGCTACTTTATGTCATCAGAAAAAATGATTAAATGTGAAATTAATACACACAAAAATTCTCTTCTCAGTAAAAAAATAACTCAGTCTAGATAAGCTAACTTCAGTAGTTTCGGAGAAAACTTTGTGGCAGGGGATAAAAATATATGCATGTACATTAGAGGTGGGACAATACAACGATGCATCATGATTTATTACTTCCTGAAATAAGTATTGATCACAGTCACACACTAAGTAAAAAGTATATATTCTTAAATAAAATGTTTACTTTAATAACTGTTACAATAAACAAACACTAATTAGAAGCGTAAATGTAAAATAATTTCATCCACTGTGCCATAATTGACACTGGCACAATCTCGACTGTGAATCAAATATTATCTACACAGTTGGAACTGAGTTACGTCCCTTCTTGTGCTTCTGCTAAGCCTATGCACCACAAATAAGAGCACATGACAAGCAAGTATCGCGATACATATCAAATCGTGACCATCATGTCATGACATGTATCAGATCCACAGTTTGTGTACCTTCCCACAAATATACATAAACATTAATGGCAAGAAAACGTGTGCTGATATATGAAGTTTCCTTTGTCCTGATCTCTGTACAGCAATGAAACAAGGCTTCTGAGCAGGCAGATCAGCATTATTTCAGACAGCAACAATCACACAAAATCTTTAACAAATCCAAATTTTCTTCAGCAGCAATCTAAATGTGGATTGTTTCTCGACAACTTTAAGTGCTTTAGAAACGTGGACAAGCTAAGATCAACTCTGTCCAGGATGACCCGAGTTTGTCAGGTCGAGTGCTGGTGAGATGAAATGGGGTTCAACGTCACGTTCAAGATTATTTCACTTATATACCGACGTGTATGCACGTGTGTGTGTGGCCACTTGTACTAGTCTGGACTAATGCTGATTTTAGTCACCCACTCAGACAGTTTACTGACTCCGAGCCGACCAGTCCTTGTTTTAACCCCATAATTCCGAGAACCATACAGGGTAACAACAAGTACCATCTTTTAACGTCTTTTGGTATGACGCGGCCAGGGATTGAACACCTTACTATCTGCTCTCCTGGCAGATGCTTTACTAGTAGACCACAGAAGCAGTCTTCAAGTGCAAGTACATGGGATAATATAGCATCAATATTAGCCATTCAACAAACAAACAAACAAATTGTACAACTAGAATGTATAAACGTGTGAATGAATATGAGCGAGAAGATAGGGGCGCATCAACTGGGTTATCACATCTCTCTCACATGTCAAGGATACTATGTAGCCACACCTGTGTTCCAGCTCATGTGATCTTGTGTCCCTGACACAATCACACATTGTAGATAGGGTTGTCATTGACTGGAAAGTTTAGCAACAGTAAATCAATTAATAACAAACTTAACAATTTCTGGTTTAATCAATGTAATGCTTGATATGAACTTGGATGATCCATTAAATGTAAAAAATTGCATTTTTTCTTTTCTATCTTAACCATGGTAATTTTCCATGTCAGTGAATTATAGATGTAGTATTGATATTCATAAATTTGTATCGATACAGTATTGACCATGTTGACATCGAGATATGCAATGACATCCCTCATTGTAGATCATACTAAATATTTGTGTTGGAAGAGAGGCAAAAACGGCAAAAGAAGAATCATTGTGTAAAATTTCAAAACACTTACACAAATCACATTTGTTTTGTAATTATTATACAACTTCCTTATAAGCACCAATTAACATGGTTCATTGCATACTGGGATTTGCACCTGTATGGGCTGAATGCTATAGCCCAATCTTGCAAGTTTTACATGGGTGTTTGTTGAGTGGAATTACAAGTATTTCAAGGGACAATTATGAGTTTGTTTGTATCAATTATGAGTTTGTTTGTATAACGCATATCATCATACGCAGATGAAGAAAGTGTTCAATACTTTGCAGAGTTTGAAATAACTTGATAGCATCATGTCCCCAAACCCACTGTTACTTTTCCTACATGCCCTAAATAGTAAATACCCCTGCATCACATTACTGAGGTCTGCCGAAATGTGGCAACTGCAGCAATCCCTGGTCAAAGGGAGCTAACTCTGTCCACATTTACACCAGGTTCCTTCCAATCTGGGGTTTTGC